CCTCTAGCCAGGGTCAACCCACCACACCATCCTTGTCAAAACCCAGTTCATTTTACAATAAACATGCTTACTACAAAGTCAGCTTGCAAAATGACATCTGTAAAAAAGCCCAAAGTTCACTATTTGATGTGAGTACCTGCAATCCAGTCAGCTTAACAATAAACAAGGGCAAGAAAGGATTTAAAAACAAAATCAAGTTGTGCTATGATATGTAACAGTTAAATACATACAAATGATCTATAATAGCTAAAGTAAGTTTCACACAAAAAACCCAATGACTTCAAATCACAAGAGAAGCTGATTATCTGTAAGGCAGTAAAGAGATTTCCATTCACTCTGCAACTCCCACTAATTTTACCTGACACAGAAGGCAATAGGGAAAAATGGGATCCAGAATGTCAGAAACTGATCGTTGTTATCTTGTGTACTGCTCAGGATAGAAGGTGCTACTTTACCATCTCTTCTCATGAAAGAAATTTCATGTATTAGGCAGGAGCCTTTATGTTATCCTACATATACTGGCAAAATGCTTCATTACCACATATGTTTGTCAATGTTAATTTTTCATGCTGCTTTGCACGTCTTGATCATTTTGCTAGTTATAGCAAATTTCTAAGAGCTCACATCCAACTGAACTGTCATGTTTATATATACAGTCTACATTTTCAGCAAACATGAGGTAAAAACGCAATAAAATCGCAAAATAATTTTTAGCCAATATGTTCTACTTCAGATTTATAATTGTCTCCTGACTGCTTGTAATTTCCCCACATCTTATCTATGTCAGTTATAGAAAAAAAAAATGGACATAATTTTTATTAGAATCAAATTCTTGTTATTGTAAATTCTGTGGGTTTTTTCTAGTAATTCCACTTTTACTCTACTTTTTGGTCACACTGCTTTAAAGTGAAAAGATGTTGCTTCATATGTTCCAAGGAATGTACCAAAGCTAGAAGAGATTCTAGCTTAGACTTTCTTTAGGGAGGCACCCTCCATCCTTTCACTAGACAACACACAGAGCATTAGACTCAAGTCCTTTAAAAGTCCCCTTTCTGCACCTCAAGCTTTCTGATTTCCAGTCAGGCACTCAAATAAATAGCACATTTGACTAAATTATTCTCTCCTCTCCCTCTTAAAATGTAGTAGGTAGTAAGGAGAGGGACTGTTTAGTAGATGAAGGGATAGACTTTTTAGAGCACCCCTGATTGTAACATCATGCACAACTTCACCTGCCACAAAATGGCATTTTTCCTGTTAAAAGTAGTCTCACTTTCTTTTGCCCCCAGATGCTCATTCCTGTCCTTACAATGACCCCTCAAACCGTGGCAGAAAACAAGCACAGGCATTTGTGCAACTGCATGATAAACTGCACGAGAAAACTGATCTGAGTTACAAATACAAAGTAAAAAAGTAGTTAGGTTTATCACAGACTAACTCTCACAACCACACAGCTGAATAAAGAATTTTGCTTCCCTCTCTCATGGGGTGGCACAGAAAATGTAAGCTGTCAGAGACACAGAGAGCAGGAACTATTTATTTGGCAGCAGTTTTGGCTTATGTCAGTCGAAAGCACATGTGAAATTGCAGCCTCGCTTCACAACTGCAGCTAGAGTTCCAAGAGTGAAGCAGTCCGGGAAGAGATAATACTATGATTGAGTTCAACTTCAGTTTAAAATTAAAGAACTGAGGTCAAATACCATCTTCCTCTCTGAACAGTTATGGCAAAGTGGTGCTAAGGCAAATCTCACCATTGTTACAACAAACTCACTGGTAATCAAAGCGAAAGTGCAAGAATTTTTAAATGGAAAAATATTTATCATAGTTAATTCAAAAGACAATACAGGTGTACAAAACAGTACAGAACCAAGCTGTTTTAATCAACCAAAAAGTGAAAATTCTTTACAACAGGTTTATTATTTCATTATCGTAGGAGAAACTGGTAGTAATGCCTACACTTAAAAGTTACCCATGGCTTTCCATTACATAATCCTGTTCTAATTTGCTTTTAACTTTACCAGATAAAACTTGTTGGGGCTAAAAATCTCTCACGTCATTTGTTGGCTCAAGCTGATGTCCTGAAAAGTGTCAGATACAACCAGTCCAACTAGCTACAAAAAACGTGGGAAAATAGTAAGTTTACTCATGGTAAAGAAATCTTACAGCTCAGCTCTTTCATTACTGCCTCCAGGACTTCCAAGTTCTGGAGAAGGAATTCCTTTTATGTACTCTAGAATGGTGTCCTAGGAAACAAAGGGCAGTTAGGACTAAGAAAAAGGTTATATTTTAAAGTCTTAATATAAATTAGACAAGCTGCATTTCTAATGTGTTAGTATTTAACATAAGCTTTAAAGCTCGCCTTGAGGGTTTCTCTCAGTAGCATGTGCTAACAACTACTAAAATTGGAATTACCAAGCAGGTTAGTCACGAGGAAGAAAGATACCTATGGCTTCACCTAGGTCAATACTGCAAATGAAAAATAATAACGTTACCATGAAGTAGTAAGAACACCACCCTCTTCACATCAAAACAGGAAAGAAGTCCATGAACAGCAGCAAAATGAACACCATAATATTAAAATAAGCTTTCACATTAGGTCAAATTTCCATCATAAAATTAAAATCATGTTTTACTTAATAGATTATGCACTTCAGAAGAGCTGAAACAAACTCTCTTCTGGATGCTACTGAAATTGCCACTGTCATTTGTGTCAGAACTGAAGAGAGCATTTCCTCCAGTTCTTAAGATATTTAACCTAATTACACATGGTGCTAGACATCAAAAATGAAATTCTGATGACTTCTCTTGCAAAGTTAAAACTCGTTTTAGCAAGTCAAATTTATTGATTATTCATCTAACATATTTCTATTTGTATTTTTAAAAAGTGAATATAAAAGTTGCTAGATAACTATCTTTTAAAAATCTTACTTCATTTTACTGTTTCCTTATAATAACTTCTTTAGCAATTAATCCTAGTCTTTTTTCTTTACATAAGATTTCTAACACAAGTGTTTAGAGACCAAGAATTATGATCTGATAGATCTGTACAAGCATATAGAAAGATTGTCCTTACCTCACAACTTCTGAATGCCGAATGAGTTGTATCTTAACTCTCCTGTACTTAAGTGTTTGTTTTTTTTAAGACGGTGCTAGTAGAACTAAACATAGTATACCTACTGAAGTCATGCAACTTATTTTCATAATGACATTATCAGATTTCAGTTCAAAGAGCAATTATGACATATTTAGCATTTGTCTACCCTTGAAGAAGTCTTGTTGGTACAATTTTACTAGTAGACTACAAGTCTCACCTATACTAAGATTATCGATATGCTGATGTGTACTCCCATTTTTGTCTTTCTCTTCTACTGCTGACACAGCCTTTCTGACAACTTGACAATCTTATAAAACCAATTTGCAATTTAGCAACTACAAAATTACTTCAAGTTAAGTCTGTTTTTAATCCTTTGCATATTTTAACAACTATTATGCACTGGAATTTGTTTTTCAGAGTTCTAACTTATACTGCCACTCACCTATCATCTCTCTCTCCTCTCTTTAAATAATCTAGGAATAAATTATTTCTGCATGAGACTAAAGACGTTCACTGAAATTAGCAGCCTAACTTTTAAGGTATAGAAAAAGCAACATTTTTAGCTGCTACTGTTCACAGAAATACCACAGAAATGCCTACCAAAGATTTAATACAGAGAAGCTGCAATGAAAAGAAGTAATAAGAAGAGTTGTCTGTATAAGGCCATTTAAATGAGTACTATTAGAACCATCCATCATCTTGATGAGAATCACTGTCTCCTATAAAACCCCAAAGGTATTGGATATTCTTGTCTAACAGATACTCTTTTGAGGTTTTCAGCTGCATAGACAGAGTGCTCCAATGTACATCAATAAAATTTGTATTTCAATCTGGCATCAAAAGCCAGATAGCATGCTTTCCTGTACAATCTACTTAAATAAAAATGAAACAAAAACAATTTTAATAACTTACTTGCAAACAAAAGAAATTAGGAATTCTAATAAGTAACATAAGAGTCAGCTTACAAGAAGACCTGATCAGCACTGCATAGGCAGATATGAGAACTCTATCCTGTAATTGCTTGTTGGGTAAGAGTTTGTCCTCATGGAAGAATGATCACATGTTTAATAGAAATGAACTACTCTTTCTAAGGTATTAGCACTATCCACATTTTTGTCAGTGAAAAGTGTTAACACAGTATTTGAATTTATTTATCATAAAAACATTGTGAGCAGAGCACTATATACAGAAAAGATTAAGATTACAGTCTTCAGGTATCAACTTTATGAGGCTTCATGCAGTTACTGAACAGGCATAAAATGTTCAATTGACAGGCCTCAGCAAATAACTGGCATTGTTCTATACCCATATAAGAGAAAGCTTTTAATGTCACATACCGATTTCTTTTTTATGTCCTCCAGATCTTTGAGTTCATTCTCAATCTTTGTGATTAATTCCCTGAGTTCATCAAGATTAGTGCAAATAAGCTAAAAAACAAATGAACACAAACACTTGGTAATGTGGGACTTGGAAAATGTACAATGAAGGTAAATAAAAATCTAAAAGCATATGTTATAACTCAGTGCCACCATTTGATTTTTATTTTCTTACAGTATTTTTCAATGCAAATGAATAGGACTTCTGAAAGGAAGAAAAATCTAATAAAGAACTCCTTCACTCTTCAAACATACACTGTACCTCTGCGTGTTAAGCTTCCATTTCAAAATGTAAGTATTTCTTAAAACTTCTGTGAATGACAACTACCAAATTAGTCTCAAGTATAGTAAAAAGCTGGAACATGTTTCAGCACCAAAAACTACCTGGTGAAGTAAAGTGTACTAGCTTTGGATTACGCTGTGGTTGTAACGTAATTACACTTGTTACAACATTTCCCTGAACATAACTATTTGTTTACAGAGAGTATTCCTGAAAGATAATCTAGCCATGTCTACCAAATCTACCTACCTATCTATGTTTTGAAAAAGTATGATACTCCTCTTAGTCCTGTCTTTAGAAAACCGATTTTTACATTTTTCCTTTAGGAACATGGATGCTATTTTATTGAAAAAAAAAAAAAAATAAACCAAAATTAATCTGTATGTTTTGCGTTACCATCTTTAGGGCAATTAAAGACTTAATGAACTGGCAATTATTAAGCTGTCAGGTTCTTTCAGGTTATCGTATGTTAAGACTTGCTTCCTTCTGAACACTCTTTAGTGGACATGTGTTCATTACTATTGAAAACATGTTGAACTAATTTAAGAAAATCAAATGCAAACAAAAAAACCCACAAAAATGCTTTTATCATACAATTGCTATTTTTTCCCCAAATCAGTAATTCATAATAATATATTTTAACTTCAATTACATATGAAGGTTTAGATTTGCACGAAATTCATGTTAAGAAAACTTAAAACAGAACTGACACTTTCAGCAAAATACATACATTTCAAAAATCTCTAATGCACACATGCCATTATTTTCCCAACACTTGTGTACATTTGAGAGCACAGGGAATTCGCGTGACCCAAACTAAAGTTTACAGTGTTCACATTTATTAAGTTTAAAATAGCAAACAAATAAGGAAATTGGCACTGTCTTACTGTAGACAATGTACGTAAAATTAACCTGCAAAAGGTTTCTCTCTTAGCCCAGAAAAACAGCATGCGCGTGTAACTGTACTAGGTTCAATATGCACTTAAAGAAGTTTCGAATACATAAAATGTAAACTGGAAGCCAAACACCGGCTTTTCTTTTCCCATCTGGCTTGCAAAGAAATCCACGATACTGTATCATTATAGAAAAACCTGCAAGTTTGTCACATCAAGCCTTTGACAAAAGTCAGTAAAGGCACAGATAAAAGATTTTTTCCTATGCGATTATCATCCACTCCACTGACTATATACCTGACAATTCAGTTTTAAAATTTTACAACTGCTTTTTATTTTATCCTATGACACACATTTAATTCAGTGTACCACAGACCAAATATAAAGCAGAACTATGAACCAAAGATACTGTCTTCATTTGCTAGAAGTAGGTGAATTTCTCTCTAGGAACTCACTTCTAGAAAGGCAAGAATTTGCAAAGAGAAGGATGATTTCACTATTGTTGAATGCTATCCTGGAAATACCAACTCTATTTTTGACTCAACCATAAAAACCTCTTACATATTATCAGACAACTCATGCGGCCAGACTTTTCATAGGTGCCAGTCCTGTTCCGCATTTTCAAAACAGTCACTTGAGACATGAGGATATGATTTGTAAAATTCTTAGTGCATACCAATCCAAACTACATCAATGGGAAAAACAATGCAAATATATGAAGTTTAATTGTCTTGGGGTTGGGGGTGACAGGGAGAGCAATCAAATCTAAGTCCCAATTTTCATCAGAAGAGGAGTACATTTGAGGCTAATATCTGTGTCCGCTGGTAAAATAAGGAAGGTAACACCAGCACAGCTGAGAGGATTTACTGTCAAAATTAATTTAATATTTTAAATATTCCAATACTGTACTGAAAGCCACTATAAAAAGATTTAAGAAGAAATTTGTATTTCTTCATTCATAGTAGGATTTGAGATGAGTACTAAAGATGCACATTAATTGGGAAGAAGCTATTTCTGAAACTTCTCTCAATTGGTTAACATTTCCCATCTTACAGAATGAAGCCAGCATTTTGAAGAAAAGATTAAAAGAACAATAATAAAAAAGGATAGTGTATTTTGTATGATAATTTTGATATGGCATCTAGCTGCTATTTCTCATAATGAGACTCTAATGTATGTTTCAGTGCTCTTTGCTCATGGTTCACAGAACCACAGTAGTTGGAAAAGACCTTTAAGATCACTGAGTCCAACCATAAACCTAACACTGCCAATTCCACCTCCAAACCATCTCCCTGAGCACCTCATCTGCTCGTCTTTTAAATACCACCAGGAAAGGTGACTCCACCACCTCCCTGGGCAGCTTGTTCCAATGCTTGTCTACCCTTTTTGGTTAAGAAGTTTTTCCTAACGTCTAGTCTAAACCTCCCTTGGCGCAACTTGAGGTCATAAGGTTGTTAAGTAGCTGAACTTTGCAATTCAGTTTCTGCAAACACTACTGCCTTTCTAAATTGTTCTGTATGTCTTAAGAGGTAAGTAACGTGAAGGCAAAAAGAAAGGTATTAATGTTACAATCTAATAATTCTGTAACATTCCGATAGCTCACTAGTAGTTTCAGATAATGCTCTTGAAGAATTTGCCTTCTAATTATCTACCATGAGAAAAAAGAATCTGAAAAGAAAAAATATTTCCTTTATGACTTATCAAATGTTGTGAAAGATTAGTCTCTGTTCTCTAGAATACTACATGGTGGCTTAAAGATGCAGGTTGTACAAGTCATGTAATTAGTTCTGTACATGCTAACTACAACACAGACATTTTCACATCAGGCACAGTACTTACAACTTATGGGCTTGATTTTCATAGGCAGTAAGCATCCTGTTTTTCAGCTGAATACAATGGAAACTTCAGGTAGTATTCCAGTAAACAGAAAATTAAGTGTTCAGCTTTCCTGTTAGGATACAATCTCAGATCTCAGTAATCTCTCAAAGACCCTGACTGACTCCTAGAACCCCAAGGAGGAAAGACAGGAAATCACCCCTGATTGCTGTAAGGAAAGACAGGGGGCCCAAACTCTATTCCTAACTTGGGACTCTCTCACTATCATATTTCTCAGAATTTGTAAATTTATAATTTTAAAAACAAAACTAATCTGCAGATCTATTCATAAATATAAATCTAGTTTACTCCCTCAGGTCACTGATGCTCCCTTCTTGACCCACCTTAACTTCAACCAATCTTTTAGCATAATTTTTACTCACTCCAATGGGGACTCATGCTTAACTTCAGGTTATCTGTGTAATGATCACAGAATCATCGAATAGTTTCAGTTGGAAGGGACCTTTAAAAGTCATCTAATACAACCCCCCTGCAGTAAGCAGGGACAGCCTTAACTACACCAGGTTGCTCAGAGCCCCAGCCAATGTTTCCAGGGATGAGGCTTCTGCAACCTCTCTGGGCAACCTGTTGCAGTGTTCCATCACTCTCACTGTAAAAAATGCCTTCCTTATATGTATTCTGAATCCACTCTCTTTTAGTTTAAAACCATTACCCTTTGTCCTATTGCTACAGGCCCTGCTAAAAAGTTTGTCCCCATCTTTCTTATAGAATTGTAATGATGATTGTAAGCTATGCTTTTATTTCCTATGAACCTGCTCTTTTATTGCTGCCATCTCCATGTGGAAAATGTCCAGACTGCCCCCTCTAGAGATCTGTATTTAATACAGACCATAGCTGATAAAACTGAAACTGTTCAGACACAGTTTGACAGAAAGGCTGAAGTTAGCCCAGTTCTGCAAAATGTGTGTCTTCCTTTTTTCCTTAGTTATAGCACATGTAGATCTATATAGCTACATCTACATAGCTACATTTACCAAACCTAAATGTACTTTGTAACTGGAAAAGAAACCAAAATAAACCCCACATTAGTGGCCCTCCTGTACAGCAATATAATTACTGTCATTTCTTTAAAACATTAATGAGTAACAGTAATAATAAGCTTGGAACTCAGAATTTTAAAAGGAAAATTTTAATACATAACAGCAACTAACTCATGATCTATGAAGCTGTAAACTCCCTTCTCAAATAATTTTCAAAATATAAAAAACAGGACATGTTTTTTGTGTGGTTTTATTTTGTAAAGGAATTTAATTTGCATCTGCTTTTGGTTTGTTTTTTTTTGTTTGTTTCTTTTGTGGTCTGGAATTGTTTTTTTTTAAAGCAGCCTTGAGCTAAGATACTAATGTAAGGTCTGAAATCACATACAAGGAAGGAGCGATGTCCACTGACCTATGCTTCTATTGCTTTGTCTATAACATTCAAACTATTACAGAGCAGAAAATGTGTGCAGTATGTTTCCCAAAAAGTTTGCTTAAAAATGGCATTAAAAATTTTAGGATTAAGTAGTACAACTATCTCCTGGGTTTTGGGTTTTGTTTGTTTGTTTGTTTTTGTGGTTTTGGGGTTGTTTTTTTTTGGTTTTTTTGGTTAATAATTTAAATACATAATTTGGGCCACTGTACATATTATAAGATTTATTAATACTAACTTTCTCAGCTTTAATGCCAAGTTATGATTTTCAGATAAAGGATCTATACTTAAGTACAGCATCTAGTCTTATGAAATAAAGTGCCTTACGTCTTTTTTTTTTTTTTTTTGTTCATCTACAGGCTACCAGAACATAAAATACCTTATGTTTAGACATGAATAGCAATATTCTCATGGTTATACCTGGCAATCCTCACCAGGCCTGCACACACTCAAGCTGTCTTATCAAATATCTAAAAAATATACTCTCACCTTCAAACAGTTACATAATTTTACTGAGTTTGGCCATCCATGTACGTGGAGCAAAGTATCTTGAAACTTACTTTACTAGGCTCTAAAAGTCTTAGTAGTATTCAAAATATAGATGTTTCAATATTTGCAAATACTTCTATAGTCATACCAGTCCCATCTGTCCTCTTGAAAAAGGCAGGTTGAATTGCCAAAAAGTTCCCTAATAAGATTATAAATTGCTGATACTAATCGATCTTAGCTTCACTTAAAACAGATAAAAAGCTTAGCCAGAATTATTATGTTACATTTTAATTAAAGTTTTATGTAGGTAAATGTAGTAATGTTAATTTTACACTTAGACAGGTGTGTAAATGTACAGTTTATCTTGGTTAGATAAAAAGTTGAGCTATGTTTTAGACAAACTACTTAAACGCAGTAGTTCAATGCTGTTGTCCTGGTTTTGGCTGAGACAGCCAAATTAATTTTCTTCCTAGTAGCTACCAGGATTTCTAACCTAACCTGCATTTCTAATCCACAGCACGCAGGTAATGTGCTGGGGATAAAAAAGAGTTTTAGACATGGTAGGTGCTTTTTGGAGCTGCTAGGAAACATTTTAGTCACTACCATTAGAATATAGACAAAAGCCAGTGTACACTTAAGTATCAGTCTTTTCTCAATAATCACTGTTACTAACCAATTTTATCACCAGAAATTTCTACTGAAACACATTATCATGATGAAATACACTGATTCAGTGTGAGGGTTTTACAGAACAGCCATGATTTAATGTGAGTCTGTTGCTCAGGATAGCACAGATTGCTCTCTGAACAAAAACTTATAGCCAAAGGAGAACTTCAATCCAAGCAGGCATGCATACATAAATTGTGACTTAGAACTGAAGTACTGTTACACTTCTACTATAGTGCTATAAAGCAACATTATCATAATTAGCATTTTTTTCCTAGTGCTCACTGGTCTAAAGGTCACATGCAGATAAGGGGTAAAAGTTGCAAACAAGATGGGCACAGGAGCCTACAAATTTTTGCCAAGTCTTTCAGTAAATCAAGCTAGACTTCAGTTCAGTGACCACAGTGTCACACCTCATACAAACACCAAGTAATTTTAGCTCAGAAAATTCTATCTACCTTAAAAATCCCATTAACAACTCCTTTTTACAGGTTTTGTCCTGTAACAGATTTATCTGCAATATCAAACAATACTGTTTAGGCTGCACATAATAAAAAACACTAAAACATTATTTACCAAGAAAAGGTGAAATGCACTTTTAAAAATATTGTCAGATTAAACCTTTTGAACTAGAAGGAAATTCATCTTCATTTAGGATTCCCAAGGTCTCTATCAGAAACTAAAGGACTTATTTTACAGACATTCAGATTTCAAGTGCTTAAAACGAAAATTAAAATAATTTACCTGAAATTCTGGTATGGTAGACTTTGTGACACCTTTCCTCTTCTTTGTGATTGCTTTTTTAGATACCGACTTTTTTCCTTTTAAGATTAAAAGAAAAAAGCTTCATAATGCTGTTTGTTGTACTTCATTAATAAAATCAAATTACATACACACTTGAAAGTTAAACTATAACTAACAGATGGCTGACAGTAAGTCACATAAACATTATGAATCAGAACTAGACTCAGTGAAAGCAAACATTAAACTACAAGTAGCTGTGTAGGGCAGTCTTTTTTGGGGAACAAAAAAAAAAGGAGGAAAAAAAAAAAAGAACAAACTCACTATAAAGCCCATAATATATCACCTAAAACTTTAAGTCATAAAAGAAACATTCACACCACTGTTCTGAAAGTAGTGAAATCCAGAACTTATGCCACAAACTTAAGAAATGTAGCCTCTTACCTGCAAGATTTGTTCTCTGACACTGGAAAGTGAACCACACATTAGGGTCTGGGACCTCTGTATCTTACAGTAAAAAATACCCTCAAAGCACAAGCAGTATCTAGAAATCCCTGAATGAACATACTGAAGTTACCAATGAAATAAGATTACTGATTTGTTTTTTCTGACTGTGGCAAAATCTAACATTTTAGAAGCAAGCAAACACATTCCTACAATGCCCTTCACACCCAACTGTGCTATCTAAGAACATGGGTGTAACTAAAAACCTCCTTGAATGTAAGGCAAGAGCTTTACCGCCTATAGTATCAGGGTTCATAAGTCACATGCATTTCTCAGATCAAGTATTTATGTCACCAAGCCACATATGCAAGATAATGGAGCTTCTTATATGGTTATTTCTACATTCCCACAGTAAATTGAAACAAGCCCACTTTTGTCCTGTTCATTCAGACAGAACCATCACTCTAAGATTACTGCTGTGCTCATATGCGTAAGTCTAAAAACATTAATTTTTTTTTTAAAGTAGGTGGAATTGTCAAATAGAATCATTATAAGTACCTGGTAATAACACAAACACACACAGATTTTATATTTATATTAATTAAAATATTGGCAAGAATTAAATTGACTTTTTTCCTGATAGATGCTTGCTTGTATGTCGAAATGCCTACGTACATACAAATACACCTACTCATAGAAGCCTGGGCACCTGTATTTTCAGTCTATTACACTATCCTGTTTTTAGTTTATTACACTGTGAGTTTCCTGAACATCTTATCTGAATCTGAAATAAAATACACTTAATAGGGTACAGAGCTCAAAGGAACTAGGTTTGAAACTGGATATAAAATCAAACATATAAAAATCAATAAATCAACCTAGGTTTGAAACTCCAAATATCAAAAACACAAAACAAAATTTAAAGAGCTCTCAACTAACAAAAATAAACACTCACAGATTTCACATTATAGAACAAGCGATAAAACAGAGAAGCACGTTCATTAGAACAACAAACAAAACATTTTGACAATGGGGAAAAAAGTCAGCATTTTTGTTATATATTTTATGAATACAGTTGCATTGAAAACATGACTGCTAATAGAGAGAAGAGTGCTGACCATTTAATGAACTAAAGCAGAAATCTCATATGAGCTTTTTTGACAAACTGACTCAAAAAGAAGTCTGGTCATATGGTGGTTCCTTGTTACAGGCCTGTAAAAGAATGTTATCTGGCAAGAACATGAAAGGATAAACACATAGGGCAGCTAGATGGTCTTGCTTCTTTACAAAAAGCAAGATTTTAATATGATTAAAATTAAAATTTTAATTTTATTTTAATATTTTCAACATACTTTTCAGCAAATATTTACTTGAATATTTTCAGCATTAGGTGTTGTATGATGCAGTGTACTTCAAAAAATAACAGAGTTAACAGAAATATACTCTCTTTTCCCCAATATTTCCTTCTGAAAAAGGGGGAAAATTATTAGGAAGAATTATAATTAATTACCAAAAAAAGAAAGCAAATATTTCTTCCTTCACAACAGCAATTGAAAAGCATGCATTAGGGAAGACATGGGCTAAAACACAGAACAAGAGTTGAAGGAAACCTGACTAGAAACACAAGGAAAATGAGTCTTAACTTCTGTGTAAACTAAACCAAGGAAAAAAAGTCTTTGAAAATAGAGTATGACATATGGGTTATCTATCACAAAGAATTCCTACTAGAAAATAAGTACCATAAGACTTACACAGCTCCCAGGCTGACATGTGCCATGAACTAACAACGTATCTGTACAGAGCAGCACCACAGTCTCTAAACTTTGTCACTATACACACCAGATGCCCTATGGTACAGGCACATATCACACACCAAACAATAAGAAAACTCTACAGATATTCGCACAATGGGAAATAATTGATATGTACAGCAAACTAACTTTGGCAAACTCATTTTCTACCTTAATGCCATCCTTACAAAGTACCAAACTGAAATTAAAAAGAATTTTTAGCAATACTACTGATAATGTCTCTCTTCTTTTAAAAAAAGCTATCTCTGGTTTTCCAAAAGTATTTCTTGATTGTCCAGTTTTAAAAGAAAAATTTTCTTTAATAGCTTTTCAAGGAAAAAAAACACGAAGATTTTAAAGGAAAACTTCTATTTAGTAGTCCTGAGACAATGTAGCTGCACCTGTCTCCAGTTTCCAAATTGACTGTAGTATAAATAGTCAAATTTACTTACCTTTAAGTGGAAAAATGTTTCGATAACATTAAACAAGGATCAAGTTTTTACAATAAAAACCACCAAGATCTGCTAATTCAGATTCTCCGACAGGTTCAGCAAAACAACAGCAATGGTAAGAGCTCTCAGCCTCTACCAGCTACCTGCTACCGGCCGTGTTGCATGGAGCATAACCATGCAAACCCCTCTGCCATGCCACCACACAACAGCCACATTAGCCTCAACTGCCAGGCTGAGGTGGGCACAGACTCTGTATGGAGGGTAAAATGACTAAGGCGTTGAACAGGCATCAACTGTGAGTGGCAACTTCTCAAATCACTCCACCGAGGTCTGAGAGAGCTCCTTTGCTCACAGTCCTTGGTAAAGAGACTATTTAAAATGGCTTGAATTACTTACTTCAGCAGATGAAGTAAAGTTTCTGACAGCAGCTAGATGCATTTCGAAACACAGCACACTATACCTTTCAGAGCATGCTCAATGTACAAATATATTCATTTACTGACTGAAAGCAATCAGAGTTAGAAAAACACACCTAAGAAATAATGAAAAACAAAAATTCTAATAAGGAAGCTCATATACATTACCTCCTCAGGTGACCTGTTCCAGTCCAACAAACCCTGCCTGCTTCCCAGTTCCCGGTCCCCAGCTTTCACTAGCCATAATTTCTACACCATTTAACAAGAATTCTACACATAGACAAAATAATAAAGTAATTTCAGTATAAAACTTCTCAGAGGAGGAAGGGGGGACAGTGGCTCAATAGACTTCCATCTTTAAAAGTCTTCAAGTCACAGTTGACCTGATCTGGTATTTGTAACAGTCCTGCTTCAAACAAGGAATAAGACTAGCTGACCTCCAACCAGCTTTTCTACGGCTATGTGACTCTTTAAAAGACTGCCTTGCACAGGATACATATATTAGTAACAAATACACAAGAATCACTAAGTCAGGACTGCACTGCACAGAAGGATAATCAGATAATGCTTTAGTCCAATCAGTTTCTTTAGATTTCGCCCTTATTATGCAAGAATGAAATGAGAAAAACACTCTCCATCAAAATAAATTAAAGAGTTTCCCAAACTAAAACAAGATGTCTAAATAAATTCATTATCTTGAAATAGCGGAAGAGGCTTTCTCCTTCAATAGCTGCAACTACATAAAAGTTGTTGCTGGGCCTATCACCTTGTGGCACCAATAGTGCCCTCCCTATCCAGCCACAGCTACAACATTAAATTAATTTTTGCAGAGTAGAAAAATACTTACTTGGACAATATTTGATAAATATTTTAAAAATATTGATAAGTACATACCGATTTATTCTTATCCCTGTTTCCACTACAGGGCAATGCTCAAAATAAAGATTAAAGTTTTATTTCTTTTTGACATAAAGTTTAATTTCAAATACAGTCAACACTTATTTGGAAAAGAAAAGAGCTTTCTTCCCTCTTGCCAGAATTTAAAAACAAGATTACTGAATACAAAACCCTGGTTTATATTCAAATATATACACATCAAAACTATATTTTAAAAAAAATTACTTTTCCACAAATGGAACTGTTCTAAAGCTAAGAAATATCAGCCTATATTATTCCTGTGTAACCTTACATTCACCTACTAACACGATTTTACTGATTTCATCTCCACACTGCCTTTTCCAGCGGGCTCCACATCTCTGTTAGGTTTCAGTTCAGACAGAAGAGGCTACAAGACACCTTACATTGGACAGAAGTTGTAACTATCATCTCTCCTCCTCTTTCATGCTGCAGGAGAGGATCAGCTCTTTTCATACTACCTCCAATATTGACAGAGAGCCAAGCGGTTCCTGAGATTAGAGAGAGGACAACTATAGACACCTAAGGCAAGAGCCATTCCATATTTAGTGGATGAATCGGGACTGTACAACACAAGAGTCCTTTTCATTCTCTACCAGAGAATAAAGGGAAAATACACCATCACTTCACTCTTCAAGCAAACTACAACAAATCTTATCCTAAATTATACTATAGTTCAGTTACCTGCATCTATAAAACACAACTCTTTATTGATTTGAAGCAGTATTTCTCTCCAATAACATACTACCAACATACACCTAGAGCTGGTAGCATCAGAGCCCAAAACCTCAATTTGCACATTTCCTGATTTTACCTGCTGAAACGAAGCACCTGGATATTAAATTGAAATGAGAGCACGGTCAAAATGCATACAATCTCCAAAAAAGGGCAGTGCAGTTGTGTAACATTGTAGCTATCAGCCTATCACTTTTTCTGAATGAAAAGAAACACAATCTTGCAGCAGG